GGTGTGCGGCGGCCCGCTGGTGCCGTGCCCGCTCGCTGCGCCGAGTAACCCCGGTTCTGTTACCGGAGAGGGACGGGGAACTCGGCTTGGCGAAACTGCTGTGGTGCCCAGCCCGATGCTCTTGGGTTTATTCCAGAGAGAATCAGCGGGCACGCGGGGTGGGTCGGGGAAAGAGGCTTTCCCGTTGCCCGGTGCTTCCGTTCTATGGAATGTTTTAGGCTGTTTTCATATATTAAGCTGCCAAGAAAAAGCGTTTGGTTCAATCAACCCATTGACTTGAAGTTCCCGTCGGTGAATGGCGTGGTGCCCAGCCCGATGCTCTTGGGTTTATTCCAGAGAGAATCAGCGGGCACGCGGGGTGGGTCGGGGAAAGAGGCTTTCCCGTTGCCCGGTGCTTCCGTTCTATGGAATGTTTTAGGCTGTTTTCATATATTAAGCTGCCAAGAAAAAGCGTTTGGTTCAATCAACCCATTGACTTGAAGTTCCCGTCGGTGAATGGCACTCTTATTTCATGGATAGATTCTTAAGTAAAGAATATGAGGTTGTAAGGGACCTCAAGGATCATCTGTGCCAATCTTTCTTTGCAAAAGTTCAGTCTAGACCGGACGGTCCAGCACCCTGTCCAGCTGAATCTTAAAAATGTCCAATGTTGGGGAATCCACCACTTCCCTGGGAAGATTATTCCCATGGCTGATTGTTTTCATTGTGAAAAATTTTCTTCTCGTGTCTAGTCAGTAATTTGTATCAGTAATTTGTACCTGGTACCCCTCCCGTCTTCTGTGGGACTGCTTGTGAAAGGGAGTCTTCTTTGTAGCCACCCTTTAAATACTGGAACACGGTAATAAGGTCTCCCCTAAGCCTTCTTTTCTCAAGGCTGAACATACCCAATTCTCTTAGCCTTTTTTTCTTGAACAGGAAGAAAATATGAAATTAGAATTCCTTCTGATGAACTCTCCTTGTGTTTGGAGTAAAGACCCAGCTCCCATTCAGCACTTTTGGGCATATCTGGATTGTAGTGTGGTCCAATTTCCAGGCTGCCATGAGAAAAGGTTGTTGAAAAGCAACTGTGCATGCCTTTGATTATTCCGATGTGTCTTTTAAAAAGTAAACCAGGGCTGAATGCTTGTGCCTAGGTCCTCTGTTTTTCAAGGTATGCTCATTGAAGAAGTGTTTATTACATCCAATAAGAGAATATTCAAGACTAGTCACAATTACTCAGTACTCAAAGGCATGGAGACATTTGAACTTTGTAATTTGCAGTCTTTTAGTTATGATGGGTTGCCAGTAATTGCTGCCACATTTGCACAGCTTCTACTTCCAGGAAGCAACTTTAAGGGATAAAAGAAAACAATGAGGTCTAGAATGTTGGTAGTGACAGCATCCTGTGGTGAGATGCTTATTTTATTAATTTTGGTAAGTTACTAATGTAATTACTAAAATTTTATTGGGGATACTTTCCCAAATATTTCACTGGATGGGGTTATAAAATAATACAGTATTTTTCAGAATAAATAAGTTGCACTTCCTTCATGTGTTGTTTTTGCATTGTGAACTCAACTTTTCCATATGTAAAGGAATCTTGTTCTCTAGATTTTGAAGTGGTTTGCTCTAGATAGGTTATTGTCCTGAATTTTGAATGTGCTAATGTTTTTAAGATGATAGCGTAGCATTTTTGTAGGACGCTGTCAGTGAAGGAGGGGAGCATGGAGAAAATAAAGATTACAAGAAAAGATTTTTTTCCACTTGAAAAGACATCCCGGGTGTATTTGCGGAAGACACCTGTGTGTTTTCCTCAGAAGTGCTGACGTCCCTCCATCATAGGGTGGGGGTCTTCTGGTTTTGTTCTTTTCTTTGGGGTTGGTGGTTGGTTTTTTTCAGTCAAATGATCTCCAGACTTAGGCCTCTTGCTTCCAAATTAGCTTCCAGCATGTGAACCTGAGAGCTGGCAAGTAGCCTTATAAGCCATAGGGTCTGGCAGAATGCTTATTTGAAGGATTAGGGTCTGCAGTCTGCAATCTCCACAACCACAAACTGAGATGTGTTTCAAAGCCAAACAAAAAATACAGCCTTATAAAAACAAAACGAAGAGTTAATGTAAGGAAACTTGGGGATTTCTGACTGACAATATTGTAGCCAAATTCTTTTGCCAAGATGCAGTCCTCCTTATGCTTTAGACGTAAGACAATATAGATGATACAGAAATAAGTTTTTATTGAAAATACTTGCTGAGAAAAAAAATCTTTCGTGTTTTATGGTATGGTAGAGTAGCTGGGGGGCTAGCAGAGGGCGTCTCATGGTCATTATGTGTTGCAGAAATCTGTTTTCCACAAACTTGGTTGGATCAACTGATTGTTAGGAAAAAAAATAAATTCAAGAAATGCATTCATTTACTTGAATGAATTAACATTTTAGTGGGTATGATAAATTTTGAATTTCACACAAGTATTTTTCAGCTGCATGAATAGCCATATATCCGTTAGCTTCAAAATGTCAATCAACTGAGCTTAAATGGAGCTGTGGTAGGTTTACACACTCATACTTTGTGAGTGTGTAAAACATGCTTTGTTTCTATCAGTGTGTTGCTTAACTGGGATGTGACATACAGAGTCTTGATTTTAAAACACTTGATAACAATAAATAGAAAATGCTAACCGTAATACATCTGGTTTTAATTTTGACCTTTTTTAAGGTAGAAGCATTAAGAATTATTTGCTTTTTATTTTACTTAGGGCTGAGAGATGGATTCATTAGAACGATCAACAATTAGAAGTGAGCAGAAATCCAGGTAACTTGTGTTTCAAACGTTATACAAAGCTGTCTGTTAATGAAAGTCTGAAAACACAGTGGAAATCCATTATTGAAAATTGGATACAAGAACAGCATCATGCTTGAAAACTTGAAATTATCCCAGAAACTAGTTTTTCCACTGACTGAGTGGTTCATACTCAGTTAAACTGCTGGTGAGGAATAAATAATATACTTGCTGAGAGGAAACAATTTGTGCTGAATGTAGCAGGAAGGCATGGGGATTATCAGCAACATATTTGTTGTAGGCATTAGCTAGCAACATTATCTACATGTTTATTAATTGCTTTGTCTGAGGCCATTTCAAGTTAAACATCATAGTTTTAGCTAGTTTCAGATGATTGTGAAATAAGAGGTGTTAAATATCCATGTTACCAGATTAACAGGAAATAAAAATCTGTAAAGGTAGTTTTGAAAGTCAAGGGAATTTTAAGGTTCTATATTACTGAAATCCTTGTTTGTATACAGTGATTTCACTGTGTGGTTTAAATGCATTTCCACTTTTTTGCAAAATAATCACGAAAGCCAGAGTTTCTCCACAGTTTCTTGTGCTGGCTTGTGCAGTGAACCAAACACACCTTTGAGTAATCTGTAGTTAGTAACATCTGAATAGTGGACTAGATGAACCCTTGATCTGAACAAGCATGACTGTTCTTATGTTCATGTATCCTAAAGTGAGAATAAATGAGAATAAAAGATACTGCTTTTTCCCAGAAAAACAAAAAATCGTTTCTTTGAAATGTTTTGACTTGTCCCTTTGAAATAGTTCTACTTTCTTTCTGTCAGACACGTATTAAGTAAATCATTGGACAGTCCTTTGACTACTTTTTTTTCCAAATTTCATTTCAAATGGTGTTTCGCTAGCCGAGTGGACTGAAAATTGGTAACTGTAAATTTGGATCTCAAAGACATTAGTGATTTAATGTTGTTGCCATTTTTTGGCTTTAATTAATTATGCACACTTACTTGTCTAAAATGACAAAAAACCCTAAAGTACATTATTGGTTTGGGAAAGGCTGTGAACTGCTGCCAATCCATTCTTCTGCATAGAAATGGAGAACTCGGTTCCTTTTGGTTGGTTAGTATTTTGCACAAGCGTTAATAGTTCATATAGATTTCTTGAGTCACTCATGAGATCTTCAGACAGGTTACAATATGCACTGTAAAGAATGAAGATTTTTGTTTTCTGTTTTAAAGGAAATTCTTAAAAAGTCTAATAAGAAAGCAGCCTCGGGACCTTCTTCTTGTAATTGGAACTGGGGTAAGTGCTGCAGTAGCACCAGGAATCCCAGCGCTGTGCTCCTGGAGAAGCTGCATTGAGGCTGTAATCGAAGCAGCTGAACAGCTGGAGGTGCTTCATCCAGGAGATGTTGCTGAATTTCGTAAAAAAGTAATCAAAGATAGAGACCTGCTTGTGGTTGCACATGATCTCATCAGGAAAATGTCACCAGTGAGTATGTTTTTAACTTATATTGATATCTAAAATTATTATATTCTTTTATTTTGTTATCAACAAAAATTCTTTTCAGCTTTCTAAAACTTGAATTTTTTCTGGTAATCATGTAGTACACTGTACTTTTCGGAATAGCTAAAAAATCCCTGGTTTTTAGTGTAAGTAAGCTTTTGTCGTAATTAATGCAAGCAAGAGTCCTGACTACTAAATATTCGCCATAATGTTTCTTCGAACTGAAAGAGGAATTTACAGCTCTGCTGGCTAAAACTGGAGATACCCTGAAAACACAGGTAGACATTGACCCTGCTGATAGCCTTACATCACCCAGAGTTAATCACTGCTGCAGCTCACGCTTCACCGAAGCCAGTACATACATGCCCAGTTTCTCAGCCATTCCCCTTAGGTTCCAGAGATTTTCAGATTGTGCTAATAAGTTTGCCAAGTCTTCCAGTTGAAATAATTAGGGTGACATACATACTGCTAAGTTGTAGCACGTGTTGAACATTTTGCAACACATGGTGAGCTTCTCTACAGGCAAAGTGTAATAACCTCTCTCTTTTAAGGGGAGTCTGCATGTATGGTTAAGCTTTGTAGCAGATTTACTGATTAATGCATTTTTTTTTCAACTAGGAAGCCAAAAAAAAAAAAGGGGGGGGAAAAAAAACCCAACAAACCCACCACTTTTAATAGTATATCCCAGACTCTGAATCCAGGGAATGATAATTTTAGTACACCAACTGATTTTCAAAGCAGTAAAAGCATACTGAGAAAGGTGAGGTTTCCATGTAGTTAGGCCAGTAACTATATTTCGCTTATAAACAGACATTTGTTCTGTGTGTAATACAATTTATTGAATAGGAAGCCTGTATATTTTATAGAATTGTTACATGTTCCTGTCAGTCTCAGCAGCTACTCTGGGCAAATGCAGCCTGTGCTTTTAAGAAAGTGTACCTTCATGTTTGTTTAGGAGTGACAAGTGAGGATTTAACTGTAGCAAAATTGTTTTGTTTTATTGTACCTGTATTACAAGCTTCCTTGAGAAAACCAGACTATTATTTTGAGCTACATTAAGTGGAGGCAAGAGCACTTGAATAATTTGAGATTGGTTTTGATGGTTTTGTACATTTGGACCTTTATGCTTTATATACTATGTAAGCCCTCTCTTAAAGAAATGCTTTGGCATTAAGTAGACAAATGATGTGGTTTTTCTGTTGGAGGCAGTTATAATGGTGCACGTGGTCCTTACGAAATGTTCATCTTTTTCTTTCTTCAGCGTACTGGGGATACAAAGCCCAACTTCTTCCAGGATTGCTTAATGGAGGTGTTTGACAATTTAGAACACCACATTCAGAATCCTGTTGTTCTGCAATCAATCCTGAGACTCATGGAGAGAGGCACGATGGTTCTGACTACAAACTATGATAATTTACTTGAAATATTTGGTCAGCAACAGGGTAAACCTATGGAATCTTTAGACTTGAAAGATAAGGATAAGGTATGATGAGAGCAGTAAAATTTTTAGACTTATAAGAGAAGACAGCTTATAAGTTTCCTTCCTGTTTAAAGAGTGTCAAGGTGCAAACTTCTTAATTGGTAAAGCGTGTCTGTAAGCTATCAGCAGATGCACAGACATTTATTTTATGTGTCTTTTTATTCTGAATAATCTGGTAGCAGTTACAAAACAGAATTTCAGTGACACATTTATTAACCAGTTCCCCCCACTCTCTGGGGAAAAAACACAAACTTATTTAACTTGTGTGAAGTAATTGTTAGAATCACAAATGTGATTTCACCTAGCTGGTTGTTAATTTGCCATTCATAACTTTTTCTGTCAGTGTTGCTGGAACTTGCTTCCTGCTTGTTTAGACCAAAAAGCCAGAGGTATCTTCAATATCAGCAATCACCTCTTTGTTATAATTTAAAGTAAGCTGTGTAATTAGTAATTGAAATTGTCTCTTGCTGCAGAAAAGTGCAAAAGAAGTTGTTTCTCCTTTAAGTGGATTTATAAGTTAGGACAGCTGTGTATTTTTGCGGAATCTTGGTTATTGTAGGATATTATAGTATAACAAAAGAATGTAACTTGCATGATTTGCTTTAGGTTCTTCAGTGGGCAAGAGGTCACATAAAATATGGAGTTCTTCATATTCACGGCTTATATACAGATCCCTGTGGAATGGTGCTAGATCCCTCAGGATATAAAGATGTAACTCAAGATCCTGAAGTTATGGTTTGTGTGATCCTTAAAATTTTTACTATGTTTTGCCAAACTATGTTACAGTTTTACAGTTCTTTGTATTTATCTCATGAAGGAACATTAGCCCCAAAATACTAGACACCAGAACATGGATTCATCACCATCTGATTGCTTGGATTCATTTTTTTAGGGGCTTAACCTGTTACTAGCTCCGGATCCTGGACTTAATGTCATATTGTAGGTATTTTAAGAAATCAAATGTTTAGTCAAGAATATTAATTTTCCTTATTTACAGATTGACCTAATGGGAGCCTAATATTCTGTCATCGTAAGTCTTTCAATTTAAAATTCCTTACTGGAAATATTTACATGTGTACTTAATTTTGTATGGCAACTTTGATTTTGAATATAATTTTTTTTTTTTTGGTAGAAACAGTGCTTCTGAAATGTCAGTTTATCATGATCCTAAAACATGTACTTAATTCAGTTTAATAGTGATGTCTGCTCTGCTTCTCCTTTTAAGTCTGACATATTTTAAAAGTTCTTACCTTGTCCTTTTGACTACTGAAGTAAACGTAGCTCTTGTGTGTTTATATTTCTTAACAGGAAGTTCTTCAAAATTTGTATCGAACCAAGTCTTTTTTGTTTTTGGGCTGCGGAGAGACTCTGCGTGATCAGATATTCCAAGCTCTTTTTCTTTATACTGTAAAAAATAAAGTGGATTTAGAACATTATATGCTGGTGCTTAAAGAAAATGAAGACCACTTTTTTAAGCTCCAGGCGGATATGCTGCTTCATGGAATAAAAGTAGTATCCTACGGGGACTGCTTTAAACAATTCCCAGAGTACGTACAAGATCTGACTGCTCAAATCTGCAAGCAGAGAAGTCCAGGTAATGTATCCTCTTTAATAAGCAAGTTTGGAGTAGGTCCATAGCAGGATGCGGTGTCTGAACAATCAGCAGTTGGTCTGAGGTGTTGACCTGTTGCGTAGCTAGCGGTAGGCCTGGGCAGTATCTTTGCTTATGAATGGCATGCAGAGTTGGCACACGGGAGAAAATCGTGAACAAATTTCTTTCTGTAAGATCTGTGGGTTCTTGAAAATTTAATCTTTCGTTCTGAATTTGTCTTTTTGTTAGCATCTGTTTAAGATGTTTACTTTGTGTATTTTTTGGCCTAAACTACTCCAGTGTATTGAGTATTACATTATATGAAATATGAGATATCAGTAAAAGAGACTAAAAGAACTGAAGGAATTAATTGGTGGGATAAGCTGGTTGAGCCACAATATCTGATTAAGCACAGAACGGGAAATTAAATCAGTACACCCAGTAGTGTTTGACTTAACACAGTGAGGGCTGGTGGGGAGAAAACCCAAGTCTGAGGATAATATTTTCTGATAATAAAATAGAAGAGAATGTGGAATAATACTCCACTTGTAACAGTGAATGGCATTCTGTAGAGGGCGTTTAATGCTAAAATGGGAAATAACTTGGTATCTTTGCTGAAGGTTAACAGTTCTGCATTGACAGGGAGCTAAATTTTACTAACTAGGTCCATTTGCCTATTTCCCCCCCCTGCTCCCTTCCACCCTGTTGTCTCTCAACTCAAAATTCCTTAGCTGTAACAATGAAGAGCCTTTAATACAAAACCAGGGAAAAACAACAATTGTATGTTGAAGGAAAGAGATTTCTATAATGCTTTCCAAACAAGGACGGTTCTACTATGGCTTATCCAGAGAATTGAGGAAAATAACTAGAGTAATTGACCTTGGGAAGAATACTGTTTCACAGCTCTCTTATCATGTCAGTGAAACACTTTTATCTAAAAGTATTCACAAGTGGTGCATAGCAGGAACATTCCCCTTGCCCTCCCTAAAAGAAAATTGCAGGTGTATGCCCAAATTATGTAATGGTTTTTTTTGTAAGTGGATGAATATTACATTTAAACTGGATTTCTTTCCTTGAAGGCTAGAAAAAATATTTAGCACAGCATCTAGGTTTCAGGAAGTTTGTCTGCAGTTTAGACACCTAAAAGTAAGTTGGGGTGCAATTTCAGACACTGAACTAGCCTTAGCCTGCTAGTTTGTTCTTCGACATACTGCTGTTGATGGATGTGGTGGACATACTTTTCACAGTCTGAGCAGCATCGAGTATTCAATTTATTGCAAAGCAGCCATTGATATAAAAACTGTGTGGAAAATATATTTACGTAAGCTCTAAATGGAAATGACTGCAAAATCAGACTATAGTGGTCCCCTTTTTGTTCAGTGGAATTACCGATTAGCATACTTGCAAGAACAGGGACCTTACTCTGACTTCAAAATATTGATCTCATTTACAAGTCAAGATCCCAAACAAAACTGTTCTCAAATGTGCATAATTTCTCTTTACGTTGTCAAACTGTCAGGTTTCACTTTTTTCATGGTTATTTACAAAGTCTCTTTTAAAAAATAGGAGGAGTTTGTTAAAAAGGTTGTATGAAAAAAAAGAGAAATGCATGCCCTGATCCTGATAGGGGGCTTCAGCCACCTGGACATCTGGAAAAGCAGCACAGAGAACAGTACAGGAAAGGTGGAGAGGGACTCTTTATCAGGGAGTGTAGAGGTAGGATGAGGGGTAACAGTTTTAAACTGAAAGAGGGTAGATTTAGATTAGATATTAGGAAGACATTTTTCACTCTGAGGATGGTGAGACACTGGAACAGGCTGCCCAGAGAAGCTGTGGATGCCCCATCCCTGGAGGTGTCCAAGGCCAGGCTGGATGGGGCTTTGAGCAACCTGGTCTAGTGGGAGGTGTCCCTGCCCGTGGCAGGGGGGTTGGAACTAGATGATCAAGGTCCCTTCCAGACCAAACCATTCTATGATTCTAAATACAACCTTGCCATTTTGGGATGTTGCGTAAAAGTATTAAAAACTTTTTGGATGTTAACGTGTGCTGTTGCTGTCTCTTATGCTTCTCTAGATGCTGATTGAGTGGACAGCACAACACTGTTGGGTACGTAATGTTCTTATTTTCACAGAAGGCTCCAAAATCTGTCAAAGATAAAAATAAGTCTCTTCCTTAAGAAGGTATAGAAGAGTGAATCTCAAGCCTAAGCATGTAGTACTGAAGGTTAATTTTTGGCTAAGTGTTTCTCAGGTATCTTTGTGATATTTCTGTGAATAGGCAGAGCAATAATAAATTCCAATTTATGGTATAAAATCGCAAAACTTCCTTTTGAAACAACACTTCAATTTAAAAAGATTACACTTCTAAGATGTGTGCTGCTGCTGCAAATAATATCAAAATTGTGTAAAAGTATCATTTCATTATTGCATGTAAGGGTCTTTGGCATTGCAGGAGATTAAAAAAACCCACTTTTTCACAACCAAAAAGTACACAAGGTCCAAGATACTTGTGGGCAGGTGTAAAGTCAGAGGTTACTTTTCTAATTCCAACTAGATTTTAAGCTTATTTGTCTTTCAGATGAGTTCATAAATCCTTTTTTTCAGTAAAGTACAATTAGGCATCAGTAGAGAAGAAACAAAATACTTCAGCACAATTTATTCCAATTCCACTTAACATAAAGCTCCTTTACTAACTTATTAGCACCCTCCTTACAAGTAATGTGAGCACCCATTTACTTGTATCTTGGAATACATAGCAAGTAAAAAAAAAAAAAAAAAAAAAAAAAGAGAATTATTCCTTAACACTGACTTGTATAATACCGCACAAAAAAATATATCTAGAGTATTCAGTGATGGGTGTCCCAATTCTGAAGGAATTTCCCTTCCATTCATTTTTACTGTCTGGCTATGCTGTTGATACACAACAGTAGCTCACACCAAGAATTTTTTTTCCTCTGAATAAGGGATCTAGACTTTTTAAAGACGTTTCTCACCTGTGAACTCCACAGGCATTATCACACAAAATCAAGAATTGTTTTCTTCAAAAGGCAGCTGTATAATTAGCTACATCCTGTTTTACATGTTAATACCAGAGCTCAGTGTTGGGGAAGAGCTTAAGATCATTGAACTGGTGCAGACTTTCAGTAGGGTTAGTGTTACAATTCAGAATCTGAATACAAGAACCTCAGTGGACCAGTATTGCATTTATCTTAATATTTGGTGCCTTTAATAAAAAGTATACAAAGCACACACATTTGACAACATTAAAATATTTTTTTTTTCTCCTCCTCTCCCTCCACAGGAACTTCATGTGTGGACTGTGCTAAAAGGAAGAGGAAGTTAGGAGAAAATGGGACTGACTCTCCTAAGAGAATCAAGCAATCAGATAATGGTATATCAACTATTAATAGAAAAAAAAAAAAAAAACAACCAACCAACCAAAACCCAAAACCCAACCCAGAAGCTTTTTAACAGTGGATGTTTTACATCTGCTGCATGGAAAGTTTTAAGCTGAGTATTTCCATGGTTTTAAGTGGAATAAAAATTTATGCATCTTAGCATTTTCTTTTCTAGAGCTGTAAATGTGTAATGTATTATAAAGCTTGAGAGTCATACTAGTCACTCTCCAGGCATTTCCATACCACTGAAACTATCTGCAGGATGATTTAGAAGCAGGTGCAAGTTTTCTCTGCCTGTGCCTCAAGCCACTTGGAACAAGCTCTTAACCAAGGTGAAGCCACAACAGAGCTAATGTTTGAATCTGTCAAAAATGACTCTTGGCATATCTACAACTATCTGCTAGCTGCCTTTGAAAGGAAGTGGTTTCTGTTCTTTTCTCATCAGCTGCACTGCAGTTAGGCTGCTGGAGGCTGAACTCTTCATGTGTCTGTCAGCACAAGGCTGCTTGCATGCTTCAGCTTCAGATCCCTAAGCTGTTAGGAATAGGAGTTGTTTCACATTTATAGAACCCGCATCATGAGAACCTGCTGGTTTTATGCTTTTAGCATGAGTATTTGTTTTCATTTGTCAGTCTCTTAAGCCATGTGATCACATGGGGAGACAAGGATGTAATAGTAACGTATCAGCAAGGACATATGTACGTGGGGGCTTACTGACTTATTTGCATTGTATTTCCATGGAGAGATTTTAAATATTGTTTTTTAAATCACCAAGTATGCTGCCAGTTATCTCAGAAAGCAGATAATGGATACTCTTAGTACAGCAGAATTAAACCCAGTTAGTAAATAATTATGATTCTGTACACAATTTCTAGTGTTTGACTTCAGTCATTTGAGTAGTTCAACTTGAAGTTAGGCACTGCATTAACTATTTTTTTTCTGAGGTGCTGCTACTTCACCTACCACTGAATTATCTCAGCACAAAACTGACATAATTACTGGTCCAGTTGCTAACACTGGTAATCTTCTGAACTTTTCTAGTCAGCTGCCTTTCACCTCAGTGTCTGCAGGAGAGCATGGTCAGGGCCATGCTTTGTTTCAATACTGGCACGTTTGTATCTGGCAGTCCTGGAGGGTTGCTTTGGTCAGCTTTCTCTGCTTATGATTTCATCTTTTATGCCTTCTGAGATTACATCACACTATAATAAGGTTTTATAGGGAGTGGAAGCGATGGGTCTGGCAGTTGACTCTTCTGAGTTGTGGTACGTCAGCTCTTTACTCCCATGTCACAGAATCTTTCCAGACTAGTAACTGCTGAGACAGGTAGTTTTTGTGGTGTGGAAGTCTTTGTCCCTGTTCTGAAGTAGGTAAAGATCTGAACACATTTTGCCTGGAAAAGCAATCTTAAACAATGCATGCACACCGACTCATGTCTCTCCTACCCTAGAAGGAAGGAAACATCCGGTTGTCTTTAATGATTGACTGTCTGGAAATCATACTTGGGTTTTAGTATGCAATATAATTGCTAAGGACCTCAAGTATCAGTTCTCAAGGTTTCAACTGTGTTTTTTAAAAGATAAAAATCAAAAGCAAAACCAGCCCAAATATAGACCATATTCATCCTCTCCCTTTGAGAGGTTTTATTTATGCATAAATCACTTTTGAAAATTAAGTCTTTTAGCATCACATATAGCATTATCCATGAGACTCTAACCTCTAAAATGTGCTTCTCTAGTCAGCATGAATTGGCTGTTTTGGAGTGATCAGTCATGCTATTTTGGATGCTGATGAATTAGCTTAGAATACTTAAATTGTTGCTTCAAGCTGGAGCAAAATTAATCAGATGAGCTGAGCTATTTATGACCCTGATTACTGCAATTATTTAATCCAACCCTAAAGTCATGTAACTCCTTATCTTGTGCCTGAAGTCAGACCTATGTTAGGAAATCACATCCCCTTCCTTTGGTAAGGATCCCCTTACACTGAGCATTGGTGAACTGCAACTTGTACAACAGCCTCCCCTGACTCAAGTGCCATTTATTTGTGTCGTGAAAAGCAGACGAGTTAAGTAAGGGGTTATTTTAATTCCTAACATACACAATAAGAAGGCAGAAATGCCTAGTTTTGGTTTTGTCGTCTGTCCCGTCCTGTCCCCCCCCCCTCCACCCCAGGGAATCAGAATATATTTTAGCCATCTTAGGGATTGGACTGTCTTGTAGCTACCTCAGGGTTTAAAATACAGTCAAAAGGGACAGAACCTGAAACTGATCTGATCCATTTATCTGTTAAGTGAAAGAGTAACTTGTTTAAGGCCCTGTTCAAATTATTACCTGAGTACTGTGAAAGAACTAACCATGCAAATTGGCATGCTAAAAGACATTTGCTGATTCTACTGTAGATGGCTCTTTTTCTACTTGCATTTGAAAAAAAAAAAAATTTAAGATATTTACCAAAACCCAACTTGTTGCCATTTATTACCCTCTTTTGCTCAAGCTGTGTAATGAAGTTGATAGGACATCTCTGATGATGGCATACACTCTTTTAATAAAATATTTAAAGCTAAACAGCCCATTGTTGTAGCTAAAATGTGTAGCTTTTACCACTGTTCAGACTCTTCAATTCTTTACTGTATTTTTCTATTTCAACCAACTGTTCCTAGCAAATTAAAAAAAAACACAAACCAAAACCAAAAACTTATGTATTTGCAACACAGACTGATGTGGGTCAAAGATCTTTGAAAATCACTAGAGGCTGCTCTTCTGTTCATCGTTCACACTACTGTAAGTATTTCCACATCTATCAACGGATTATGAATTAATAGACTGATGTGAACTCATAACTTACAATCAGAGTAAATAATTTTATTTAACAAAGTGTGGCAGCAACATCAGTATTTGATAAACATCTGTCTACAGTGTGAAGAGAAATGTTCCCATAGGAACACAGTACCTACTGCTCATGTGTCATGCCTCCCTTATTCAGTAACCCCACGTGTCCAGACATCATCAGTTGTGTGCAACGAGCACATTACAAGTAGATGCATATAAGCAGCATGGTGGATGAAAGAAAGCCACTATATGAATGTAAGAGGATATAATTCTTACGAACAACCATAAACGAAATAAAGCTCTTCAGCATACAGAGGTGGAAGATAAGCCAAATGAAGTGATTCAGGCACTCTCCATGTTCTGTAACCAGCTTCATTAACTTTGCTGCTTTGATGAAGCATGGCCATCAAACTAGAGTTAACTTTACTGGGACAGTTACATAATAACAATCTCAACTGCAAACAAATAACTTTTCTAGGGCTGGTACCTGTATGGCATCTGACTCATACCTGTTTTATTCTTAACACTTTTCTGTGGGGTAGAATACCAGAAAGGTAAATTCTTTTCCAGGTTACATCACACCTTATAGAGATAGATCATAAACTTTTGTAATGTAAACTAATATTTTCATACGGTTGCAGTGGAAGACTGAAGTCTTACTGGGCTTCACTAAAGTTACACAAGATAACGGGCAGATTCCAATATTTTGTTTTAAACACCAGGAAATCATCCTCCCTGAAGGCATATAGATGCAGCTGCAACACAAAACACAGGGAGCGTAAAGGTCTTGAGCAGTGGTAGCACATATCTGAGCAGTGCACTAAAGATATGGCTAAACACATTACTTTTCATAAGAAAAGCAAGAGGCATATTCTTTATAATAGTGTGCTTATGTGAACTTGTAATTCATCTTAAGGCAAAAACCTCCAAAACATCTGAAGAGAAAGCTTTGCATACCAGAATGTACGCACTTCAGTAACAACCTCTGGCTATCTCTTACTTGTTAACAAAACAATGAACAACAGTTACTTCCTTTGATATTTTAGAAAACTGTGTTATTTGAAAGGTAAACATTTCTCTACCAACATCCAATAGCCACATTCTGACTCAGATTTGTAACGGTCGGCTGTAAACACAGTTAGTGCTGTTGTCACCTGGCTCTGAAATCATCCATGCTTTATTCTGCCTTTGTGCTCTGTTCCTTCCTGGTCATCAACGTCTGGATACTCGGTAAGATCCAAAGTCAGTACACGACTGAACATAAAGTCGTCATGCTGAGAAGAGGAAGGATGATACAATTTAAAACATTTCTGTTACTTGAAATAATCATTCATAAATGACTATGAGATACAGTAATGAGCTTAAGTTACCAAAATGATCTTTGCATCAAGCCAGTACTTGCCCTTATTCCTGAACACAAGCCCAAGTTCAAACCCAGCAACACAATTATATACATGATTCGCTGTAGTAACACTTAAGGTGTAAATCAGTACCTCAGCAAAAACTAGTGTGTATTATTTAATAAAATGTGGTCATAATTGTTACCTCTGGACACACTCCAATCAATGCATCTGCTTTGCAATAAAACTCTTCCTTTAGAGAAATAACTATCATTTGTAACTGTTCATGTGCCTGTTCTCTAATGAAACTTGATACCTTTGGAAAGAAGCCAAATATTTCAGTAGGTTAGTTCTGGCAGATTTAAACCATGCTGTAATTAGGGAATGACGAGGAAAGAACTGAACTATGTTAGCTGCAGAATTCAGTTATGAAATAAGCAGGATAAAATAAGAAATAACACAGTATTACGACAGATACTTTTCATGTTCTTAGGACAGCCCCTCAGATTTGGTGCTTTTAGAAAATAAGAAAATAATAATTCACTCCAAAGGATAATGTTTACATAAAAAGGCCAGTCCTAATTAAAAATATTTTAGTTAATATACAAAGGAAGGTGGAAATTCATGAATAAAGAAAAGAAGTGTGAAAAGGCTGTTACTGGCATATACTAAGATCTTAAATACATATCAGTTCACTGCAGACAGCAACATTTTTTTTTTTTTCAATGATCTACAAAATAAAGGAACAAATACTAAGTTACAAATTGGTGACTGAATAAGGCAGTATCCCACAATATAAATTAAATGCTGAATAAAGGAAAACCAGTACATTTTTAATTAGACTTTTGTCTGCACAGTTATAGCTACATGATATGGAAGCATATTTTTTATGGAAGAACTACCTTGAGTGGGTTACATAATTCACATTAATTTTACAATGTAATTACAAGTAAATTATTGGAGATCTGCTTTAGTAATCCTTAAACTGAAAGAATGGAAAGAAAAAGACTTAGTTTAAGCATAAAACCTGGACAGCAGTGAGTAGTAGTGACATAAAATCTTGCATACATCATTTTTGCTCACTTGCAATATTTAATTCCTCTGTCTGAAGGTTTTGGTGCTTTCTAGTAACAACTGCATCTTAGAGATAGGTAAAGAGATATGAAAGACCCTGGGAGCAGGGAAACACAAAGTGAATTATACTTGCAGATCACTGCAATTTTGCTTTTGCTTGTTCTGCCACTCAAGACACTTTTCACAAATGCTTAAAAAGTACTTTTAACTCTCCATGTTGAAACCAATAAAAGGAATTTTCTAGGAAACCACTATTTTGTCACCCTCTTCCCACATTCCATGGACAGCTGCTCTCCAAGCACGTTACACATCACAGCCTGGATCACAGGTTGCCTGTTTCATGTTGCTTATGTGAAACCAGCAGCTCCTTTTACTAATTCTGCCCCAACCCCTCCACGCTGCATCTCCTTACAGGAGCAGGAGGCAGGAAAAGGACTGCGGAAGAGCAGTGAGCCAAGCGGGACGTACTGGACAGGGGCTGTGCAGGGGGGACGCCCCAGCCAGACAGGAGATGGGCATCTCTAGCCATGAAGGTTACAAAACGCATAGAAGCCCAATTTAACTTCGAAGCAGGAAATCTCAGTGTGACTTCCCTGTCAGATTAGATGGGCCCCAAGGACTCAACTCCAGGCTTAATGAAGACTACTAAGGCAATTTCAGGGTTAACCCTAATGCGTAATACAAGTTTAATAGCTCTTTGGCCACAAAGTGGTATTTATGGATGTTATTTTTATAAATATACATTACATCAGAACTTCCAATACTTAAACTTTCTGCATTAATGTTCTTTATTTTCTTGAAGATGCATCTTAAAAACATACATTATTGTTGCTGATGTGTCAAATGAAATACCTTACTTTCAAACTGTGAAAATACTACCAACTGAAGGTTATAAGCCTAGGAACCATTTGGGTAACAACTGCTGATATGACCATCTTTTGTGGGCTACAAATGTGATTTTTAGCTAAAGAAAAGTAAACCAGATTTGAAATATGTTCGAATTGAGAAACCCAGTTGCATAAAAGGAAAATCAGATATTCTTTCTTTATAGTTCTGAAGAAGAATGGTGCTTAGCATGTCCTTGGGTATAAAGTGGACATCTCTTCTGCCAGGTGTGTCAGAATGAGCCTGCTCATAAAGGCAAACTGCACCAAAGTGCCTCGTTACTGTGTCATCAGCTGTGTTAATACATCATTTGTAGTCTCTATGGAAAGTAGGTAACATACTAGAAATTACGAACTTCATGGAATGTGTATGTAATTGATGACTGATGCACCTATAACTGTAACAGAAACTTCTGTGGAGAAACTAATGTCATTCAGGTAATGACCTGCAGTTTTGCTACGCATGAACTGGGACCCCTGCCCAGCTCCAGACAGAACCATGGAGAAATTTTACATTCGTATCCAAAAGATTACCTCAGAAGTCTGCAAAGATAGGAAGTACTAATCACCTAACACACTGCAGCTTTGATGAAAGGCAAAAATGTGAAATTTAGCATTAAATAGTATAATAGCAGACAAGACAGACACTAAACTTGGAGGCAGCCTGCGTAACTAAGATACATGTGACTCCAGAATTAAGAATAACATCCAGAAAATGCAATAGTGGTATTTAACCAGAATACGTGATCCTCAACTGTTATGTCAACTCTTAGTGGTCCTGAGTGAAAGACTACTAACTAGAAAAGCATCCTGTTAAAAAGCTTAGATCACAGAGGTGTTTTGTGATCACTTGGTACCTAATCTTGTTTCTACTCACATCACTGAGAGCCAAACCCTAAAGCTTGCTTAGTTATCTTCATTACAGTCCCATTACGTCTAATCTGGTGTTGCTGAAACTGAAACACACTGGACTGAGTTAAAACAAACTCGGCATATCATCTGCTCTGAAGTAGTAGATGATGGGTATCCCTCGTGGACCTGTATCCCAAGGAATGTTTAAGGAACTTAGGTTCAGGAAAACACCTCTCACAATGCTAGGTGGAGTAATAATCTCCGAGAAGGAATTCTATCTGCCAGGCACAAGCAGTGAAGTTTACCCAGCTGTCTATTATAGAGGTACCCTCCAAGCAAATTCAGGTGTACTGGATACATCAAAATAAACCCCATTAGGAAGGGGGGGGGGGGAAGAGGGAGGCAGAGGGAAAAAAATTTGGTGTTTATAAAACTGCTTTTGTTTGTTAGGCTTTACCAACACAGACATGGCTATTAATGCAAGCAGAAACATAGCTCTGGCGAACTTTTTGGTTCCTCTCCTACATACAATCTCACAGAACCACAAAATGGTCAGGGTTGGGAGGGACCTCTGGAGATCATCTAATCCAACCCCCCTGCCAGGGCAGGGTCACTTACATCTTCTTGTGTTGAGTCTCCTTCTCCCAGAGGCTGACATCTACAGTTGGCAATCTTTACTGTTTGTATTCTATCTTAAGTTTTTGTTAGTGAGCAATTATTAGCAAAAAGGGAAGGAAAAATTGAGAGGACGACAGGAAGCTGTTTTAATCAAGCAATAATTCATGTGACTAAAATGATGGGAGTGATAGTCCTTAACTGGTGTTAATGTAAAAATATTTAGTAGGCTAATTATAAAATAAATACTCCAGTGATAGAATGACTTGATTTTCAACATGCAAATACAGTCATTGCTTCTTAGAGGCAAGGGAACTCAAAGGTATTAAAAATTCCAAGCACACCAACCCAACTAGCAATTCACAAGCAACCTTCATGTCAGATTGTACCACACATGGTGACATTGCATACTTTCACACTCCTGACCTATTTTTCTCAACTTCAGTTTAGGGACTGATTAAAACACACTTAGATTTATGAATTTAAACCTAGCCCTAGTCTAACATCTCACACAACCATTATTTCTGTCCTAAACCCAATATATTTTAAAACACGTTAAGACAGTAATCAATCTCTTTATCCCAATAGCCTGTAAGGAAAAGTAGCCATCCTTCTATAAAAGGTATCATTAAGTTGTCAATACAAGTATAAGGTGAAAGGGATCAACTTACTTTATCAATGTTTGTGTTATCCAGGGAAGCATCTATCTCATCTAAAATTAAAAAAGGTGCTGGCCGAAAACTGTAGAAGACAAAACAGTATTTTGCATTAAGATGTGAAAATGTTAATAAACATTCTAATTACTTTAGAGATTCACTTACTCTATCATAAAATTTTGATAAGAAGTAATGACAGATAAAGAGTAACAGCTTTAGTAATGTTTGAAT